TATATATATATATATATACACACATATATACACATATATATATATATACACATACATATATATATACACATACATATATACATATATATACATATATATACATATATATACATATATATATATATATATATATACACACATTACTGTTACTGTTACACTACACACTGCAGTTATAAAGAAATGCTATCAGTGTTCGCATTGATCGTTTTAAATATTTTTGATTTTTTTCTGAAATTAAATTTTGACTTATTTTCTTAAGCCATTATTTCAATTTCTTTTCACTGAGGTATTTCAAATACATTTCCAACATTTGGACATTATTTAAGAAAAATATTTTAGTTTTACTTTCAACATTTAACATTTAGCTCTTTTAAATTAATAGTATCCTTCTGTTTTTTTCCCTTTAATGTGGTCCCAACAGTCCTAAAGAGTTGTTGGCTGGTCAGGTTCTGTTTGGGTTTTTTTTCTAGAAGTAGAACCGTCTTCACTGAGTTCTTGCAATTCAGCATCTCTGTTAAACGACAGGAAGAAAAAAAAAATTATATAAAGGTCAGTCAGACAAACCACCTGTTTGATTTTCTCACATATTCATATCACGTTTTATGCTTTCATATGATGGATGTTGATGAATTCTACTTCCAGCACATCTGCAGTTCATTTTAATCTTTGACCCAAATAAGCAGAAAATTAAATTTCACTCATTTCATTTTTAAAAATATAACATATGAACTTTATAAAACGATCAGAGCAAACAGAAGTAAGCTCCTCTGTAGTAATGTTTAGGATACTTACACATTATTAACAGACTTTGACCTTCTGTGGTTTTCTTGTTGACCTGAGAAACATTTTGCATTCATAAGACATCGTCCATGAAAGAATAAACACAATGCACAATTCAGCAGTGCAGGCATGTCAGTAGTAATATACGTGTTTGTTTTGTGTGCTTGAATGTTAAGTACACGGGCATATGTACTTAACATTATAGTGTTTAACTGCAGACATCCTAGGTAAGGTAAGGTAACTTTATGTATACCCAATTTCCTTTACAGAAAAATGATAGCATAGCTTTTGGCATGCCTTCAAAAACAAAAAGTATGTGAAGATTATCTGTCCTTATTTAGTGAGGATGTTTTACTTCCTGTCCTTTATGTCCTCGCCTGTGCTATGGTGAGACTGTTAAAAAAGGGTTGAGCCATATACAGGGTGAGGGGAGATGACCCTTTGTGATCAGCAGGAAGTCACACAAAAACACCCACATCCACACACATGCAGTGCCTCAGTTTTATGACTGGCTTTTAAGGCTGCAGGGGGTGCTGGTTCTTTGGAGTGGTCTGACACTGAGGGCAGAGGTGCTACCGAGCGGGCTCCCCTTGCTAGCAAGTAAAAACCGGTTAAGCTATTCGTCTTGCTTTCTTCATGTGTGATAAGTCTCTAAACTAGTGGGCCTGCTGAAGCGCAGACCCAACACTATTATTTTATTTTGTCAATTTATTTATTTTTTGTATTTCTTGTTAATTAAAATAAATGAACAAAAAATATTTTTTGTGGATCTAACAATCAGGATTATCTCTCAGACCGGCTGAGAGATCTCTCTCCAGGGCTCCCTCGGTCTGTCACAAGGCCTCCTCCCGGTGGGACATGCCCTGAACAATGCCCCAGTGAAACTCCACATCCTATCTCTAAGCAGAGGCAGGCCACCCTTTGGAGGAAGCTGATTTCTGCTGCTTGTGTCCATGATTCTTCTGGTCACTACCTAAAGCTTGTGACCATAGGTGAGGTTAGAGACGCAGATTGACCTGTAAAATCAAGAGCTTCGCTCTTCCACTGAGCTCTCCCTACATCCACATCACTGGAGCCACAGCACCAATCTATCTGTTGATCACCCGCTCCACTCACTTCTGAGCAACACCCTGAGATACTTAAACTCCTCCACTTGTGTAGCAACTCATCCCTGACCAAGAGTAGGCACTGCATCCTTTTATGGCTCAGGACAATATCCCCAGTTGACGTCAACAGCGCTCCTCCTGCACTATACACACTGCAGGTGGAGAACCTGCTTTCCCTTCCTGATTCACTTAACAGTTTGCAGAGTCACTTCAAGACAGTCTGAAAGTCTTTTTCAGGTGTCAGGATGTGTGGACATCCAACTATGTGAACATGATAACTCAACAACAAGGTGCCAAAGGATTTTCTAATTGATAGCTTAGCTGCATTTGACAATCAGACACTTTGGAACTTGGCAGCCTTCATACACTTTATGCATGTTTTATTTCTCAATGGGACAGTATAAAGCAGCACCACCGTTTCAGTCTTTTGACAAAATGACATTCAAATCTTTTTTCCTAATTTGAATTCAGTGAATGTTCATATAATACGAAACCCTTCTGCATTTAGATTTCTCTAAGTGCATTCATTTTCAGACCAGGGAACAATTTGACAGCAGAAGTGTTAAAAGATGTCTCACAGCTATTGTTACAGCATTAAGGTGGAACATTTTTTTAACCTTCTAAAAGATGACTTGGTGATTATGTGCTCAGGAACTTGGGCAACTGTTAGGAGCGTGACTACAGTGAAGCAAGCTTGCTTATCATGGTCAAGACAGAAACTTCCTGTGTTGACATTTGTGAAATTTTCCTGTTGTGAGATATAACACATCAGCCCTAATGTGAATTTGAAAACGGAACTACGACTGCTCTAGATGTTGGTAAATCAAACTGTGACAAAATAACTACTACTAATAATAATAATAATTTACCACCATGCATTTTCAAATACCAGTGTCCGTAATCTTGTGGCATTTTTTTCATAGAGAATGAGCTGTTTTAACAAATGAGACATAAGCAGTACACTACAGCGTCATTACAGTAGCCTCTACTGTAAAAATGTATGGACATGAGCAGCGGCACAGCACTCCGAACTACTGTGCACCTTTGTATGTTGTTTGTGTTTTTTCTGCCTTTTTGTTCCATCTTCTTGCAACATACTGATCACTTTCAGTCATCAGGAACTGATAGATGTTTGTATATATTGCACTTCATTGTATATATTTCTCCTGTTTTTTATTTATTCCTGTTGTCTTACTCTTTATATTTTATTCCTGCACAGTTGGCGTGGAGCACCCATAATTTCCACCGATAAGGACCAGTACAGTCGTGGCCAAAAGTTTTGAGAATGACACAAATATTAGTTTTCAAAAAGTTTGCTGCTAAGCTGCTTTTAGATCTTTCTTTGTTGTTTCAGTGATGTACTGAAATATAATTACAAGCACTTCATACTTGAAGGCTTTTATCCACAATTACGTGACATTTATCAAGATTTTTGATATAACAAACAACAAAAAAACAAAACAGACAGCACAACAGTGAGGGCAAAACACACAAATAAGACAAAAGATTCCACTGCAGCCAAGTTTACACCGATCGCATATTGGACTTAAAGAAGGAATTTAGATTTTCAGTAATGAAGTCTATGAAGCACTTTAAATTGAATTAACTGATGTCTTTCATTTATAGAATAAGAATTGATCCCACACAAACTCCTCTCCCACACATCATCTCCAATTTGCCAACCAAGCTCAAATACTCTGAAAAAGCGTTCACAAAACTAGAAACCAACTCTTTAGAAGTTGGCAAACTCAGGAGCGTAAAAATTGGCCCTTCTTCCGGAAGAGATGGAAAGCTTGGGAAACTCTGATGAACATAGTTTCTTATCTGTAAATAATGAGGGTTTATGCTTATTTTTTCTTCATAGAATCATAGACATACTCATAAATACCAAAAAATAAACTTAATTAAATCACCACATTAAACAAAGAGGGCCATGTGGTCACATGAACAAGAGAAAGTGCCAGGTCAAAGGGGAACAAGCAACTGCACATGCACGCCACAAACAAGTACAGTAATGTCCTTTTACCTCTTTTCTTTTTACAGAGCAATACCAAACCAGCTACTGCTGCTCCAACCAGAACCACTGCAAACACCCATCCTATGGCACTTTCAGTATTGGTTGAGTTCCCTTAAAGGTGAGAGACTAATTATTTTTCTCT